ACCATGGCCCACATGGTCCAGCTGGGTCTTCATCTTTCATCATTGTCCCTCTTGTTCATTATTTTCCAGCCACATTGATTTTTATGCAGTGCCTTGAACAGGACAATCTCTTCACCTCTTGGGGGGTCACTGAACATGTGCTTCCCTCTGCTTCAAATGCTCTTCCATCCGCTACTGAGATCCTAGCTCAGTGAATAGTGGGTGCCCTCTCAACCTTTACTTCATGGCTCCGTGGCTCCTTATCTACAATAGGTTAAATCTCAATCACTGTTTTCACCTTGGCACGTATCACGATTTGTTCCTGTGATTTCCTTGTTTGCCATTTCATCTAACACTAGCACAATAACAGTACAAGAAGTATTCACAAAATGTTGAATGAATGAAAGTTTCCTTAAAATTCTGGTGATTGAAACTAAGGTGGGAAAAACTGGTGTAAATGGAGGTACTTCTGAAATGCAGTTCTCCTGAAGGCTCTCAAAACCCTATGGACTGACAGATGTCATTCCTGGTTTGGTTTTTTTGTTTATGTTTTTTTTTTTAAGGCTTACCTTGAACTTTAGAGTAGCTTTTTACCTACATTGTGATAATATCTTTGCCAAATAGTTTGGACCGGGGGGGGGGGGGGGGAGGGGAGGAGAGGTGTTTTATGAATGTGAACTATAAACACATATCAGAGATAGGGCCAAGAAGCTAGAGTAAATACGTTAAATTCCAAGGATTTTTAAGTGTATTTTCATTTTTGGAAGATAATTACTCATAGTGTTTAATGATTTATTTTTATTTTGGCTCTCAAAAATCAGGTGCCTGTTAAAGACCAAAGCAAGTGTAAGGGAATCACATACAGAGAAATTAGATAACCAGTAAGCATCTCCACCATCTAGCAATGGATTCATTATCTAACCAGTATCTGTGTTCATCTTATCAATTCACTTTTAGGTGAACATTACACTTATTTTATTGCCTACCTGATTACTACTAGTTTAATCTACTGATTGAGTATAAAGAATGAAAATGCTATTTAAATCAGAAACATTTTAGTGTAGCACTTAGTATTTGCAACTTCGCCATGCTATTTATTTACAAAAATTCTAAGAGATGGTTCACCATTGCTCCTCCTTCTCTACAAATGGAAAAGCCACGGTAGAGAGGGACTGAAATGACGTGTCCAAGGGCACTTGTACCACACACTAATATAACATTTCATCTCATCAAGTAATGAAAGCTGCCTCAAGCACCCAGAGAGAGCCGGAATGTTTTGCCAGCTCTGGGCTAGAACGCCCACCCCAAGGGCTGGAGCAGGGGAGCTGCTCTGCTTTTTCTCTGGAGACTCAGCCATACCTGCCCTGAGGCCACTAGCTTTTGTCGTGTATCATCAGGATAGAAATGTCCTGACTGATGCACGGGTTTATATCAGTCCCCAAAGCAGCCCCTGGCTCCCTTGTCAGCTTTCTAGTCTGACCCCCCACCCACATGTGGCTCTGTACACCCCTTTTCTCTACCCCATCTTTCAGTGGCCCCAACTCCCGCCCCTGTGCGGGGGAAGCCAGGGCCGGGCAGAGCAACTGCCCTGTGACTTCAATCTACTCCCAGTTTCTCTCACATTCTTTCTTCACTGAAACTGGCTCATGCCCTAGGACACCGCTTCCCTGACAGCTCCCTCAAATGTTCTCTGCACACTTTGTACCACCAAGCATTACGCTGTTACATTCTAAGTAGAACAGTTTTATTCTCTCCTGAAACCCTCCAGCTTTGAATTTCAAGCCATGAATCTCCATTGGGCGTTCTTTCTCCATCTACAGCCAGCTCCTGAGCCCCACCTCCCTCACCCTCTCTATCTCCCTGCTCTCTCTACCCCCATTTCTTGAAGATCCAGTTCATGACTCATCAGAGTTCTTTCCAAGTCTGCTCTGGTGATAATTCTGGAGGATCTCCGTGTCCACACGGGCCACACCTTCCAGTGCCCTGGCTTCCCGAGTCTGTGACCTCAACTTCTCTAGTCAACTTGTTCTCTATCCTAATTCAGCCACCAGCCCTTCTGGCCCTCCCTGGCCCCACCACAGCTGTTCCCTGCATGCCTCCACAATCTCAACGTTGGCAGCACGCCTCAGCCGACACCTACTTTTCCAGCTAAACCCTTCAAACTCTAAAACTCAAACTTCCAACTCAACCTCCAAAAATTATTTGGACCCACTGGGACCTGGAACCAATGGATCCAACCACCTTTCCTGTCCCTGTCTTTTCATATCCCACCTCTCTGCTCTCCTAGCTGAAAACCAAACTCTGAGTTAAACCCAACTCTGCACTTACTGGAGTTGTGTCTACACAGTTGAATGTGACAGAAGGACAGCAGGCTGATGGATCTCACTCCAGACTCATTTCTTTCCCAAGTTTATTCACTTCCTACCCTCCTAAATGACATTGTCATTACCCTTTCCTCTCCCTGGAAATCTCTCCCCCCATCTCCACTCTCAGCTGACAACTTTGCTTCTTATTTCCCTTAGATAAGAGAAGCATAAATGACAACCACCTTCCATATTCTGCCATCATCCCCACTGCCAGCTGAGCTGCCTGTAATCTTGTCTCAGGCTGAGCCTACACTCAGTTGTTGTGAGCCAGGACATTGTTCCCGACAGTCTCTCCTCTCCCCTGCATCTCCAACTTCCCACTCCTCTACAGAGTCATTCCCACCAGCGAATAAACATTATCTTGCTTCCACATTCCTCCACCCCCAGCTACCTCATTTCTTTGCTTTCCTTTATACCTAAACTCCTCAAGAAAGAAGTTACCTAGGGGCGCCTGGGTGGCTCAGTCGGTTAAGCATCCGACTTCGGCTCAGGTCATGATCTCACAGTTTGTGGGTTCGAGCCCCACGTCAGGCTCTGTGCTGACAGCTCAGAGCCTGGAGCCTGTTTCAGATTCTGTGTCTCCCTCTCTCTCTGCCCCTCCCCTGTTCACGCTCTGTCTCTGTCTCAAGAATAAATAAACATTAAAAAAAAAAAAAAGAAGGTACCTATATTTGCTCTCTCCCATTCTTCTTCCCATCTCACATGAACACAATTCAAGCAGGCTTTCACCCCCACCCTCCCCTGGTCAAGGTCACCAATGAATTCTGTGTTCATTTCTCACCCCTCATCCTGCTTGGTCAGCACAGGGCACGGGTAATCAGCCCTCCTCCTAGAAATGCCTCCTGCCTTTGGCTTCCCGTTCACACTCTCCTGGATTTCTTCCTGCCTCACTCCAACCACACCTTGCATTTTGTGATGCTTTTTACATTATGCGTTTACATATACATTCAGGTCTCCACTCACAAATCACCTGCTCAGTGAGGTTCTTCCTGACCACCTTATATAAAATTTCACCTCTTCCCCCAGTTACCACAACCCTCTTTTTGGCTTTATTTTTCTCCATGGCTATAAAAAGCACCTAGCACAATATATACTGAACATGTTTGTGTGTATATAACTTAGCGGTTTTCCCCTGATAGGTATTTCTTTTTCATTTCTTTATCCCTATAACTAAAAATGGTATACAGCACCTGAGTAGGTGCTCAGTAAGCACCTGCTGAATGAAAGCAAAGAAGGAAGGAAAAGTGTTTTTTTTTTTTTCAGGAAATAAAGATCAATATTGCTGTGATGCACTATGTCTCCACGTTGCACAACTAATCAGAATAATATTGATTTTGATTATGGCTCGATTAAATTTCTAGGAGAATGCAAAGTGGCCTGACTTTTATGCAGATCTAAGGAGATGATTGCAGTTGGCTTCTTTCCCTGCTAATCACCAATGACTCTAACACAAATATGGAAATAATTTGCAAATATTGGTACAAGTTAGAAGAGAAAGCTCCATTATCTGGGCGGAAATGTCAGGGTAACAATCAGTAATTCTTACTTCAAGAAATCTCACAGGAAGACGGCTGTGAGATTCATGTGTTTCATAAATAGATATGTCTGAGGGAGCCAGTTAACAACTCTTACCTGCAATGGAGGATAGCTGATTTTCCTTATATTTGAATGAACACTTATGCCCGCTGAATTCTGGAATTTGCAGTCTTTAAATAATGAAGGAAGCACGCTGAAACCTATTAGTTCAGGGAGTTGGAAAGAATTCCAGTTTTTTATCCTCCCCCAATTAATCCCTTTCTGCTTTTAATTTAGTATTGGACACAGTGGGGTCCAAACTTGCAACATACACATACCAAAGAAAAACACACAAACCAAAAACTTATCAACGACACTGAGCGGCCCCATCTCCCTTTGCAGGTTTTCCCGTTCAGACTTGGCAAAGACGACCCTTGGGAGTAAACCACCATGTTGTCAACTACTTGGTGTAAGTGTTTCAAAAATAACTTGACATCAAGATTTAACATAATACCATGGAAACTAATTCTATGTAAAGACCAAGAAATTTGTTTTGACGTGGTCAAAAGTATGTGTGTGCGCGCACGTGTGTGATTCAGCACCTTGAATTATTTACTTAGCACATCTGTTTAAAATCTGACATCTCGCTGAGCACCACACTACTCAAATCATCTACTTTTGATGGGCCACCCTTTGTATATAAGTCACACGTTCACATCCATAGAGAAAGCGGCTGCGGTGAAATACGGATAATGTGCACCGAGTGCAAAAGTCTGGTGAGGAGAGCTTGCACACTTGCCCGCTGCCATCATGTCAGGACCGTCTGTGACGACTGGGCTCTTAGGCATAATATATCTGGGCACTTACTCGTTTGCCTATCTGCCGCTACGTCGGGCCTGCTTACTGCTGGCGTCCTGAGACGAAATGCTCTGGCAGATGTACCAATTAATAACCTGTCAGATCTGATGGATAGAAGAGGAAAAGAGTGTCCTCACACATATCTGCGGCGTGGCTTTCTTCCCCATTTTAGGGCGCCAAGGGTCAGGAGACACACTCTACCTCCCTGGAGAGCACCCAAACTGTCTCATTAGTGTCTGTCTTTCACGACACCCTGGCACCGCCTTTGAGAGGCTGACTCACCTGCTCTTCTCCAAGGATCCTGAAGTGATGGAGCTCTTTAATCAAGGAGTTGGGGCAGCCAGCTGTTGGAGAAAAGAATTAATCGTAAACATGTTTTTCCCATTCTGGGCGGTAATGTGCTCTCACGTGCTGTTATGACTATCAGCCGCAGTGTTGTTGGGGAAGACGCAAACACCTACCTGCAAAACATGTTCTCACCAACAACAAAAAAGCCATACCTCCAAGGGAGCTATGGCTGCTGCCTGGTCCCCCACTGTGACACTGGGAAGGGGCCACAGGTGAGCCCAGCCAGGTCTTTTCTCCCTCCTGATTGTGACCTGGGCTTTGTGGAGCTTTAGGCCACCATAACACTTCTACCCAGGACATTACTTGTCCCTGTTATACAGCCAGGATTCTGTGGGGCCAGAGTGGGAGAGTTGGTGAGTATAGGTGCATTTCCCTTGGATATCATGTCTCACTTCCTCAACTCTGAAGACTGGGCTCTGCACACGGACAGTTAAGAATGAAGACAAGGGTCGCCAGATACCATATCTTCATGGGATTTGGCTGTAGTGTAGAACTTTGTCTGGTTCTTCCAGGAGGCTCTGTCAAGACCATTAGGATTCTGGGGGCACCTGGGGGGCTCAGTCGGTTAAGCACCCAACTCTTGATTTCAGCTTGGGTCGAGGTCTTGTGGTTTGTGAGTTTGAGCTCCACATCAACCCCCCACATTGGGTTCCGCACGGACAGTGTGAAGCCTGCTTGGGATTCTCTCCCTGCCCCTCCCATGTGCTCTCTCTCTCTCTCTCTCTCTCTCTCAAAACAAATGGATAAAATTAAAAAAAAAAAAAAAGAAAAAAGACCATAAGGATCCTGTTTTTCAGTTTGGAAAGGGGCTTTTATGGAAAGGACCTGGGAAGCGAGCCAGGAAAGCCTGGTTGCCATCACCTTCCATCCTACCCAGTCAATAAGAGCCTATTCAGGCTTTCACATTTTCTTTCTTCAGTTGTAAAGAGAAATAGATAAATAAATTATATATATGCATGCCAGCACATGCTTAGTTATCATTTAAACTATGTTCCATCCCTGTCCTTTTAATAGGATAATTCTACATATTACTTTGTAGTCCTTTATAATATTAGCTCTACTAACAAAAATTGACACAAAAGCCTATTTCTTAGATACAATCCCTGGATCACATAATCTGTTGAAGTTTCTGCTAAGGAATCGTGTTGTCTGCAAAATGTACCAAAGCAATCGCTGTGCTGTTTTTCCATGTTATTCTGCCTTGTGCTGTACAAACGATGCAAAGTACTGAGGATGTTTGTCTGGGTGGGAGGCAGGCTGAGGAAGGAGGGAGCTGTCGTATTCATGGGGGAGGGGTGAAGGAGTTCTCCTTTGCAAGAGAGATTAGATTTGTGCTTTGTTCTAGAAGGCAGGACGAACACAAACAGGCAAAAATTACAGCAATAGATTTTGATTCAATGTAAAGAAATTTCTCACTGAAGACTGGAATATATTGCTTTATAAGCTAGTAACTGCAGCTTTTCAGACACAGACTAAATGACGATTTCTGCAGGATATTTTAGAGACGAATTTGACTGTGTCAGCTCCAACTCTGAAATTCGGTGGTCATGTAAAACACTGAAACACGGTTTTAGTTTTTGATATTGTATTTGATCCAGTCTTTGATATTATAACATTTAATACTTTGAGAAAGTGGTTTATAAATGTTTACTCAAGTAGTACAAAAGAATTTTAAAAATATAAACAAAATGTACAACAGACGAAGTCACCACCTGACAATAGGCCAAGGAAAGAAAAGAAAATCCTGAGGTGAATGTTTTGGTGGAAAATGTAGTACGTTAATTGCCTCAGGCATGCCCAGTACTATAAAGAAGAGAAAGTAGATCCTTGACATTAGAAACTGTACTTGAACTGTGTTTGTCCAACTGGTTCTTTCTGAGATGTTGTTCATGTCAGAGTTGCTACTCTGATAATTATCTGGACAATTAGTAAAAGTTACGCTGGATCATTTGGCCGCAGTTCAACCCAAAAACCGTGGTGGGGGGCTCCTGGGTGGCTCAGTCGGTTAAGTGTCTGACTCTTGAATTCAGCTCAGGTCATGATCCCAGGGTCGTGGGATCAAGCCCCTCCCTGTGCTTTGTGCTGAGTGCGGAGCCTGCTTGGGATTCTCTCTCTCTTCCCATTCCCTCCCACTTGAGTACTCTCCCTCTAAAAATAGAATAGAATAGAATAGAATAGAATAGAATAGAATAGAATAGAATAGAATAGAATAGAATAGAATAAACTTTCTGAAAACAAAACAACAACAAAAAACTCCCCCACAAAAACCACAGTGGAAGTTTAGTCTCATGTCAGTTCTTTTACACCATCTTGGGAACAAGCGCTTCTGTGAAACTAAGGAGAGAACAGAGTTCCAGGGATGCATTCCCCACACATGGGGGTCCCATGGTCTGGCACCAAGGGTAGGAGGCTCATATGAAGGAGGAAGTATGGGCACAGGATTATAGGGGTTGTAGGCATGCTCTGATCAGGCGAGGCTGCCAACCATCCAGGACCTCGTTTGCATCCCAAGAATAACTTCGTTTCAGCAAATGCTAGCGCCCGCCATACCAAATTCATAGAGTTAACTGGAATACTTTTTCGGTTTTGTGATTTTATTTATATTTAATTTATAAGTGTTCATTTGGGCTTTCCACTTGTATAAGCATAAAACATTTATGTCTAAATGTATTTCTAGACATATTTAAGAGATTATTTTATGAAATAATCACATTTAACCTTAGAAGTTTTAGAGGACCTTTTTTTTTTTTTTTTTTTT